ACACACACACACACTCACACTCACACACACACACACACACACACACACTCACACACACACACACACACACACACTGTACCCTGTGCATTGAGCTGCTTCCTGAGTTCTGTAATGGGAGCGACAGGTGCCTGATGTCACGCTGAACCATCCCGACCTAAAAGCACAACAGACAGAGATGTACAGGTGCATTAGAAATGGCCTGCATGCATATTCAGAATTTATAGGGCCTCAGGCAAATAAAATGTTTAAGCTCATTATTTGCTGGTTAATTAATCAAATTAATAGCAAATTAATTGCACATCAATTTGGGTCATCAATTTTAAGTCACTGTTGTGTTAAATGAGAAATGCATTGAATAGACATTACAAAAAGCACATTTTGATTCAACATGGCATAAATAATGATAATAAAATAAACAATGCGTTTTTTTTAAAGAACATTGAAATATGACATTAAAAATAGGAATATGAATCATCTAAATGTGAAACTACAACTGCCACTAGGTAGTGTCAAATCACTGTCTTAATGAGTGAATAATTGAATCATTTACTGAACCGATTCATTCAAACAGCTAATTCATTCAGAAACAAAGCAAATGACTCTTTATGAATGAGTCATTTAATCACTGACTCACTCGGTTCGTTCAAAACGCTGATTCATTCAAAATGAAGCTAGTGACTCTTTATGAAGAGTCACTGACTCACTTGATTTGTTCAAACAGCTAATTCATTCATAAACAAAGCTAATTGAATCACTGACTCACTCGGTTCATTCAAAACTGTATTAATTCAGTCTGTGTGTTGCTCAGGGACGCTCAACAGTTCTGCTGTGGTTTCGATTGCAACTATTTTCATTGGTGAAATTGAGCAAAAAAATACAATATTGACAATACTATGTCTAAAATGTAACACAATATGAACTTGTTTATTGAACTGTTGTATAAAATCAATATCACATTTGCAGTGGCGCATATATTGAGGAAGAACAGCACTCTTGCTCATGTGATATTGTTTAAATATATAATATGAAATAAATATAAGAGGGGCATTTTTTAAGACAATCCCTAAGAACTGAATGTTTCTGTTTTTATATATAATATACTGTATAAAGTAGAAATTATTTAAAGGGGTCATATGATGCGATTTCATGTTTTCCTTTGTCTTTGGAGTGTTACAAGCTGTTCATGCATAGATGAGAATAAAGTCTCAAACCCACGCCCTCCTAAAACGCCTCGTTTAAACACGCCCCCACATGTCTACGTCACTGTGTGGGAAGATTTGCATAACGCCGCCAAATGTTTACGCAAAGAAAGAAGGCGTAACTTTTATTCTCGCTGTAGTATTGTTGTCGTGGAGACGCTGTGTGTTTCCAAATATGGTAAGGGGCGTAACATTTCCGTCACACGCTTGAGGTATTCGGCCAATCACAACGCACTGGATAGCTGGCCAATCAGAGCACACTGTGCTTTTCAGACCGATGAGCTTTGTAAAAATTGACGCGTTTCAGAAAGGCGGGGCATAGAGGAGAAACAATAATGTACAATATGTGGAAAATAATGTGTTTTTTTTAACCCTAAACCGCGTAAACACATTTCATTACACCAAATACACAAAATAATGTTCTTTTTAGCAACATCATATGACCCCTTTAAAAAAATGGACTGACGCGTGATTGGACGTCTCTGATTGGTCCACGGTCACTGGTTCCGGGATCTGATTGGTCACTCACCTTGTTTTGGTGGGCGTGGCTCTCGCGGGCTCTGCGCGGAGGTTTCCACGAGCGCTCCTCGGTAACGGTGTTGACGTAGTAACAGCGTCCGGTTCCGGGGTCGCAGTACTGATCCCACAGCTGCAGCGTCTGCAGGGGTCGTTGACCCGGCAACGGCTTGGGAGGCTCCGCCCACTGCTGCTTCCCCTGCTCTGACAGGGAACTCTGGGAAATGTAGGCAGATGATGAGATCTGAGGAGAGAAACATTAGAGAGATTAGAAAGAAACTTGGTGCATAGTTCACTGAAGATGCAGCACATAGCATTATTATTATTTTTCTTATTGCATTTATTAATATTTTAACACTTTTGTTTTTAAATTAGATTTGATCTTTTTAGTTTCCATTTTAATTTTAGTAATTTTATGTGCTTTTGCCATTTTATTTATTTTTTATTTCCGTTTAAGTTTGTAATTTTAGTACTTTTACTTTAATTATATATATATATATATATATATAAGTACTAAAATTACAACTACTAACAATCATTTTTAGTAATTGAAAAAATTTAAATGAAACAAAATACAAATCATTACATGAAAAACTTAAAAATTAGAAACTGAAATAACTGAAACGATGCTTAAATAATACTAAATACTAAAATTTACAAACTTAAACTGATTTCATGGAAACTTATTTCAATTTTCTAATTTCTAATTTCCATGTAATATATAACATTTTATTTTTATTTCAGTTTTATTTAAATGACCAAAAATGATTTCCAATAGTTTTAGTTTCAGTTTTCTTATTTCAGTTTTAGTTTTAGTCATTTTCGTAAGTTGAAAAAATCAACTTATTTTCAGGTTTTTCCAAGTAATACTTTATATTTTATTTCAGCTTTATTTAAATTTTTTTTTTTCAATTTTAGTAACTTGACTACTGTACGTTTTTTTCACAGCTTCAATTCATTTTTGTCATCTGATATTTTGTAATTATTTTATTTCAGCTTGATTAATTTAAAGATGATTTGTAATAGTTTTAGTGAACAATAACTACACTGGTTCTAACACATTTCAGAACAGCATGAAATCAATCGTACCGTAAACGCTGATGTAATTCTGCTTTCAAACGTTGTTTTGTTTCAGCAACACTCACTGATTTAAAACCTGTTTAAAAAGCAATTACTGCATTTCTGTTTTGGTTCATGCAATCATGATTTCTGATGCAATCCTCTTAGTGTGTGTCTAATTTGTGTATGTGAGACTAATTAGTGCGTATGCAAGATTATCCAGGTTTAAAGGTGGACAGAGTTGAACTTGAGAGTGCATTTTGGGACTAAAAGTGAGCGTTGTGTGTCAGTGCGGTCACAGACGTACATGCACTAAGTAAGAAAACAGCTTGAAGCCACAACTGTCAAGAGGAAGTGGCCTAAAACACAGACAGACACGACAATATGAACAATACAGAGAGAGAGAAGGAAGAAAAGCCACTAGTAGCCACTGAACAATAAAACAGCTGAACGTAAAATGTTTGCTGAGTGCCCTTAAAAGCTCTGACTGATGGATTAGGGTGCGTTTCTGTGCTGTGAATCTCATGGAGATGCTGCGTAAACGGAGGGATGTTTTCTGAGGTGAGAATGCTGTAGATCTGGATTATATAACTCATCTCTGTGAAGCCATATGGCCACGCGGCCAGAGCGGGACGAGCGTCATGCCACAGACAAACAGCAGGTGTCTCTCTCTCAGACTCCTGGAGCATGATATACAGTGTATATCACTATTACAGCGTCAGACTAACTCCTTCAGTACAGAATAAAACAGGCTGTTGAAAGCAAGTCGGTTCGTTTGAAGCTCGAACGCTGCAGGAGAAACGGTTGAACTTTTTCCACTGAGTGTGTATCTGAGCTTTTGGGTGTGTTTGAGTGTGTTAACACAAGCAGACGGCAGCTTTATCACTGTAAAATGCAGAAATTAAACACTGAAAACTAGTGCATGAGACATGATGAGATTTAACCCTGTAAAGCCTGACATATGAAACAATGGTCTATTTTAATTTTTTAAATGCAACAGTTTATTTACCTTTAGACAATCTTAAAAAAAATTTAGCATACTGTATGTATCATATTTGATCCATCAGGCTTTTATGGCTCATATAGTCTGATATTGTGAGAATATGAAGGAAAAAAACAAAATATGAATTTGGTGCAGATGCTGATATTTTTTATGATAAAATTCTGATGCTTGTAATGTAAATCGATGAGTTCTTTATAACAGTGCAGCAGATACTGACATTAAATGATCTAAATATCAGTGGTCACGCTATATCTCCAGTAATCTGTCTCAGTAAAATGAGATTGAAATGATCCAAACATATAATGCAGTGATTGAGAGCTGAAGAAATAAAGACATGACAGAAGATGTGAGATGTTCTGGAGGCTTGTGAAGATCATTCCTCCGCTGAGGAACAGTGAAAGTAAAGCTTCTGGAAACAAACGCTCCTCAAAAGATCCTGAGGATCAGATTTGAGACTCTAAAAAATGATTGATGGAGAATCAAGTAAAGCTGAGCTGCTTCAGTCCAGTAAGAGTTCATCTGGAGATATTACTGCAGTTATTCTGACCTTTACTTGATCAAAATCAGTCAAGATTTGAGAGCAAAAAGACACGTGAAGCTGAAGCTGGACGCCTGTGCAATTATGCCTGTCATCTAAAAGAGCTTTTACTGATAAATACTCTAAACTATCAATCAGAGACAGAAGACATGAGGAGATTGAGCAAAGTTTGATCATTTAGAGTCATAGAAATGGGCTTCTTAGGGTTCTAAAGTGTGCGTGTGCCATCTTTAAATGTCCCAGTACACTGAGCATGAGATTGAAGTGACGGTTTTATTGTGCACATCCAGAGTGATGTCACTTCCTGTCAGTTTTAACAGTGAGGTTAGATGACAGTCATTAAACATTTAATATTTGGCAGGTGTTTTACAATAGAAATGTTCTTTATGGTTCTTTATGGAACCATTTAGACAAAAAAGGTTCTTCTATGGCACCGTGAAGCACCTTTATTTTTAAGAGTGTAGGACTGTTAGGAGATAAACCTGATATTAAAATGAAAGAGTTTCCTGAGCTACTGTATAAAGAGTGATGTTCTCGCTCTGTCACGTGTGTAAGTGTTGGATTTGTCCATGATGATGTTGGCCTCTTTACCTCAGGCGGGTGTGTGTGTGTGTGTGTGAGAGAGAGAGTGTGTGTGTGTGTGTGTGTGTGTGAGAGTGAGT